AGGCTCAACATAGAGTTTGCACAGAAACAAACAAGCCAGCAGTGTTTAGAGTATAACTAAGTAATTACACCTTTAATTACATAGATATTTACGCAATGAATTACATTTACAATCAGTTTACATTCTGTATTGATTGATTGACTAACCTTTGAAAATTCCAGACTTATTACATACTAAGGCTTATTATTCAGTAACTTCAGGGACTTCAATGCAAACTGCCTGAGCTATTCTTAGGTTATAGAAGTGTGTAATAAAACTTTGGGACCCTCAAGGGTACATCTCAGTACCTTTAGTCAGGGAACATAATTGTATCATAATCAATTGAAATTATATTTTCTAAGCTGTACTGACTCCACACACCCTGTCTTGTCTCCAGCCTTTTATTGCTCTGTTTTAAAAAAATAGGTTATGAAAAGGTACAAATACGTACTTTTCAACCAGGAAAAACCTATTTAAGGTTCCCAACTGGACCTTAAAACCACTCTTGTACCTTTGAGGGCACATTTACATTGTTTGTACCTTGATGAATAAAAGATGTACCTGCACAGAACCTTTCAAACAGTGTAGAATCCACACTTTTGAGAGAATTTTATCACTGGCACTAACTGTTCTAAAGGCTGAGTTGTGAGGAACTTGCTTAGCCTCTGTTTGTCCATTTCTGACTGATGCATTACTGTCCTCTAGTGGCCAAGCGGTCACAAGACAAGTCACAAGCTGGTCACTGGGCCCAGGGCATTAAACTCACATTACATGCTCTCTGCATGTCTCTCCACGACTTGCTTAAGCTGAGAAGAGAACCGAAATGGAAAAAAACAACTAAAAGTCGTTCATGGCAAGTGCCCTAGAATGATTACAAGCAGCCAGTCTCATGTGGGTATGGTTGCCTTGGCCTGCTGCCACGGCGTGCAGGAAGGGAGACATGTCGTCACCTACATTTGTCACTCAACACACTTCAGTTGAGTCAGGGATTTCCATGATTCATGGAAGTCTTCAGCAAAAAAAACGCGATGAGAAAGAAGCCAGCACCTCCTCCTCCTCCTCCTCACACCTCTCCACCCACACAACAGCTTTCTGTTACCAGAGTGTGAATTACAGTGACATACAGAGGTTGAGATTTTCTCCCCACAGTGATTGTATAGTGGTTCTAGCTGTAATGTAATAATATAATATAATGTAGGCGAATGCTTCAGTGAACTGAAGTCTGAAATTACAGTGTCATGTTTATTTAATAATGTTTGCAAACTAATGATGTCTGGAGTTCGTTTAGAGGCGTACAGTGGTAATTCTCTTTACTTCACCCTTAGAGGATGAGAATTACTACCCTTGCTTTGCTTATACAGTTCAAATAAAATGATACAATTACGTCTTTAATGCCTTAAAATCTCAGGCTTATTACATACCAAGGCTTATTGTAATTACAGGGACTTCAGTTCAAACTGGCTGAGGTATTCTTAGGTCATAGAAGTGTGTAATAAAGGTTTGGGCCCTGCAGTGGGTCCTGGACATTTAAGGGGTTAACTACAAACCACAATTCCAAAAAAGTTGGGACAAGATGTGAGACGCTAATAAAAAGCATTCATTAATAAATTCTGTTTGACTTGTATTATATTGAAATAAGTACAAAAAAACACAAAATTTGACTTTTTTTGTAAATATACACGCTCATTCCAAGTCTGACACCTGCAATACCTTCTAATAAAGCTGAGACAGAAGCATGAATACCACTGTCTAGCATCCGCACTCATGCAGTGTGTGGCATGGCACTGCTGAGTTGACATATGCATGGATGTCTCCGAAAAAGACGGCACTTAGAATACAGCATAAGTTGCTCCAAAATATGTATATATCTTGTTAATGCTGACTTCACAGATGTTCAAGCTACCCATGACATGAGCATTAAAACGTCACTATACCATGCCAAGCCTTGGATTTTGAACTTTACACTGGTAACAATCTAGATGGTCCTTTTCTTCTTTGGCCAGGAGAACAAGATATCCATCATTTCTATAAATTATCTGAAAAGTTGAGCCATCAGGCCACAATACAAGTTTCACCTGTGCATCAGTCTATTTCTTTAGCTTGGGCACAGCTAAAGTAGGCTGGCTTCAGTAACATCTTTACAGTTGCATTTATATTTTTCATCCTTGCAATCACTCACGGAGGGACGTTTACTGATGCATCTTTTGGCAAAGCAGCGAGCCTCAACTCGTCCTGAGTGCATCACCTGTGTAAGATGTTTTTTGAGCATTTCGCAATGTTACTAGCCTTAAATAGCCCCTGTTACAACTTTCAAGCATGTTGCAGGGATCAAAATTCAGAATAAATGTCTATTAAAAAAACATTGAAGTTGATACAGTAAAAAATTAAATATTGTATTTTGTACTGTTTTTACTGTTTTTTAAACACAGGTTTAAAAAGCAGATTTACAAATCACTGCTTTCTGTTTTTATTAGCATTTTACGTACTGTCCCAACTAAGGTTTGTACAAGGAAAGTTAGAGATTGAACTGACATCCTCTCTTGACTCTGTACTTCTGTTCTTTTTCTGTTTGTAATCATGCTAAACAATGACAAACACATGGCAAAAATGAAGGATGGTTTCTTTGCAAAATTAGACCATAAATATCACAATAACTTCATTAAATTCAAACTGTAATAAAAAATCTTCTATTTATAAACACATTATGGACTGGAAATTTAGATCCTGCCCTCCAAAAGCATCCATCTGTCTATTTCAATGAGATGAGTGAGAAATAATTCATACTGAGTTACAACATGCTTTTGTCATCACTGACTTCTAAGGATTAAAGCATTACAGGCAGTAAAATAACCAGCAGAATCCATGTTGAGAATCATACAGTAGAAATCATATTTATATTTACTTAAAGACAATATTTTGGGACAGGAAGATCACTACACCAGCTAAATCTACATTGCGAGTGATGGGATTACGTGTCCAAATTAATTTATTGACTCATGCATCTTTACAGCTAATCGGTAAACTACTTAGTTAACTATATAGTAAGTACTCCATCCCTATACACTGTTAAAAAGATGGTTCTCCAAGGGTTCTTTAGTAAATGGAATGGTTCTATTTAGAACCATGAATTCTATATAGAAAAATGTCATGCCTAAATGTTTTTTTTTTGTTGTTGTTGTTTTTTTGCGTGGTCCTCAGGTTGATGGTGAATGTGCTGTGTATGGTTTCATATTGCACCAAAAAGGGTTCTAATATTGTTACAAGCTTGACATCATAACAATATCAGAACCGTTTTTGGTGCTATACAGAACCCTTTTCAAAAAGGTTCTATGTAGAACCATATACAGCACATCCTCCATCAATCTGAAGAACCGTTTGTGACACTCTTAAGAAAGATTGTTCTTATAGCACCATGAACAATGCAAACACTTAAAGAACCATTTAATGTTTAAAACGTTCTTTGCATCATGAAATGATTCTTCAAAGTTGATGGAGAATGTATTGTATATGGTTCTAAACAGCACCAAAAAGGGTTCTGATATTGTTACAAGCTTGACGTCGTAACAATAGCAGAACCATTTTTGATGCTATATAGAACTCTTTTCAAAAAGGTTCTATAGAGAACCTTATACAACACATTCCCCATCAATCTGAAGAACTATTTTGCCATCCAAATAACCATTTAAGCATGAAATGGTTCATTGAGTGTTCATGGCTCTATATAGAATTATATAGAACCACCTTTACTAAAGAACTTTTGAAGAACCATCTTTTTTAAGAGTATAGAGCACAATATTAATACAATACCAGTACTAAGACTATAGGGATCCATTTGGGTCCCAGCCAAAGTGTTAGTTGGGATGAGTAGGCTTTGTTTATTGTGATTCATTTCCCCCCGTTAATCACAGCCCCTCTGTTACTGGATCCAGGCTTGGCACAGCTGAAGCTCTGTGAAAGTCCCAGTGCTGCTGCCTTTCAACAGCACCCTGGCCAGAGGACCTCCGCACTGTTCAAACAGCCAGTGCTGTACTTCAGGGCTGCAGGCTACAGGAGGATAGGGTGGTGGTGGTGGTGGTGGTGGAGGGGGTGTCTCAGTCAGTGGGCTGAGCTCCTGCTTCCTTCCTGAGAGTCCATAAATCTGTCTGTGGACCAAGGCTAATGGTCTGATATTAACACTGTTTACTTTCATTAACACAAAGAGAGAGGAAGTTCCCAACAGACTCGGTAGACCCAGTGGTTCCTGGAATGTTTTCCCTGTTCTAACCCTAAGTAAAAACTTGTTAATTAACTGATGAGGTGGAGCAGGGAAGATGCCAGATTATGCAGGGCACTCCAGGACCATGGTTGGAAACCACTGTAATAGACCTACTCCCTGTTGGACTGGACATGCCATTGGGTTTGGTGGTACTGGAAAAATACATTGCTTAGAGGTCATAAGTTTTTACTTGCATTTTGCTACACTTTTTAATGTAATTGTGTAATTACATATGTTATTACATAGTTGTACAAATTTACGTTTTGTATCGACAGGCTTGAGTCTGTACTTTCCGATTTTCCTGTTTGTTTTGATGGCAAAAATGTAGCATTTTCTGCAAAAGAAGACTTTTCATCAAATTTAAATCATAATAAAATATCTCCTCTTCTACTTACAAACACAAATATGGAATCAAGTTAAAATGTGCACTTTTGATGTGATTTCTCCATTTATTTTATTGAGCTACAAGGGAGAAATAATTAACATCCAATAACACTGTTCTTTTGTGATCACCTGTGACCACTTCTAAGCATTTCTTTTTGGTGGGCATGCTCAATGTTCATATAGAGTCACCAGGATAGATGAAAGTAGCACAGTGGACTTGCATTTGGTGAAATTCAGGACAAATATTGTCTATATATGCCTCAGTTTGTGTGTGCATGGGGTTTTTGCTGCACTTTGACACTGATCAGAGAGCACAAGGCTGTTTTCCCCCCAGTGTGTTATGGCAAGCATGAACAAATGAGCAGGCAGGGCAGACATCAAAGCCTTGTCCATCCAGAAATTAGTAGACGGAAGCAGACTCTCTGTCTAGGTACATACTAAGTGTACAGTAGGTACACTTACATTCTCACACTCAAGCGGACAAACACGCAAACATACATTAAAAGTATTAACCCAGCCCACTTTGATATTTTGCATAATTTTATTAGACATCAATGAGGAATGTATTTACAGGAACACTGGATGCCTCCTTTGACAATTTCCTGAGTGTTTCTAGCATGACTTTTCTGTTAATGAGTCTCCATAGCCATTGCATATGTTTGCAACCTATTGATTCATCACTCAGTGATCTCATTACATTCAACATATTTACAGTGTCACCCTGCTACATAATAACAGCGGTTATGTATTAGTCCAGTATTAGAGCCTCAGATCAGGCTATAGAGATTGCACTTACACAGTGTCCTTATCTCTTGTTTTCTCAGAGCTCCTGTGCATCACAGCATTGGGTAACAGTGCTGTGGGCCTGAGTCCTGGAGGTAGTTCATGTGCCAAGAGAAGGGGAAAGTCTGAGGTGGCTCCCCATAGCCATCCACGTGGCCCTGGGAACAAGAGCTCCAAACCCCGGGCTGATAGCCAAACCCTTCCCCCAGTCGTCCAAATCTAGGAGGACTTGCAGCATCACTGATAGGACTCCCGCAGGTACCGCTGGTTGAGTAGAGTTGGGCTTCAGGAGAGTAGCAAGAATAGTGTGGCGATGGAGGACAGGTAGGGACCCATGTGCCTCAAGCTGTCCATGTAAACCTGCTGCTCAGAAGATATTCTATGCATGCTCAAGGGACTCTGCATCTGGTGCCCCACTGGTTGGTGCCAAGGAGTGTACCCCTGAGGCTCCAGGTGTGTAGAAGTTCCAGGAGGCATTTGCCCAGCTTCCGGCCTCAGTCCAGCAGGTGGAATGTGGCATTCACGGTGGTTGCAAGCTTTGCCAACTCCGGCAGGTGGGTTGTTGCTGAGGAACACTGACAGCGCAGAAATCCGGTTGATGGCCCTCTGTAAAGTGGCAATCTTGGAGAGCCGCTTGCCGCTCAAGTCATGGTTCAGTGCCACTCGCAGAGCATTGAAAGCCTGGTTGTAATCCAGAATACGCTTCCTCTCTCGAACATTGGCAGCCATCCTGCGGGCCTTGGAGCGGACCGGCCTGTTGCGCTTCTTGACCCGGCCTTCCTCTGCCTCACTGTGACCGCTGCTGGGACTTTCGCTGTTAGGGAAGGGACCTTTCAGGCTGCCATCAACACTGTCATCATCAACCTGAGCATGCAGGCTCAGCTCCAACTCTTCCTCTGAGAACTCGGAACCAGTGAAGCTGCCACGGCTTGCCATGACTGAATGCTAGGACTGCTGCCGCTCTACTGAATCTCTACACTGACGGGCTGCCGGAGTTTCAGCCGTGCCGACAGCCCAGATCCTCCTTTCACTGGCTCCTCCAGACACCTCGTGATTACCTCTGCTTCCTGCCGACAGGTCCGGCTGCTTTTTAAAACACCTTCTCCTAGAGTCACATGGTACAGTCACCCATGAGGAATGGTATACCCTTTTTACGAGGCCCCTCCAGGCAAATGGATCAGTTCTCTCCTCAGACACGCCCTCCTCTGCACCTCACTCAAGATCTTTACATTGTTTTTTTAACCTCTGAGTTTCTGAGACACTCTAACTTCAAATTACTTACAGTTTCTTACAGCTCTCTATACAACAGGACAACCTTTGTATTTTTGTAATTTGGAAAAAGTCAACCTGCCATCTACAACATGGTGCACTTGGGAAGTCTAATGCAGTCCTGGAAGTTTGGGATGCTGTCAAATAGAGAGATTTCACTAAGTTTAATTTAGTAACTACTATAAATTATGCAGTAACTTCTGTGAAATATGGAAATATTTATGAAGACGAGAAATTGAAGGGTGGACTCACATACAGGCCCTTGTAGTTTAGAACTACATTAGGGTCATCATTGCAATGAGTACATGTTTACTCATTAATAATTCTGTAATGAGCTGGTCATTTCACTGAACATCTGTAAAGCACTTCTCAAAAGGCCTGGAACCTCAGCCTGAGAACTTGTGGAAGAAATGTGATACCTTTTATTCTTTGTGGTGATTAATCACTGCATGAGTCCATCTAAATTTGTCTGAGGGCTATCATGACAAATTGTGCATTTATCAGATAACCAGTGCTTTGTGTATTTCCTCTCACACTGGGACCATGTGAGAGGAGGAAGAAAACACTTAGGACCCATTATTTAGATTTGTCCACGGATGCAATTAGGAGTCTCCAGAATGGCGCTTCTTGCTCTCTCGGTGCAGGGCCTTACGAACTGTATAATTTGCGTGTCTTTGTAAGTCGACCATAAATCAAGTCCCAACAGCACCTGAGGACAGGCATAGATAAGGCACTGGACTTCAAAGCCAGGGAAAAGAAGACAAATATTTTACAATTATAACATGTAATGGTTGCTTGCTTGGGCAACCTGCATTTTACGTCGAGGTTTGTGCAGTTTAAAGGGGAAAGAAGATGCTTGTCAAAACAAGCAAGATTTTTCCAGTTCTGCAGTCAATACCCGAACAGATCTTTTGATGTAGATGTTGCTCTTTTGCTGAAATGTTGTCTGCATCACATCCAGTCATGGTCCATGAATGCTCTGCCCTGTGCATGCCCTCCGCTGGTCTGCTGATGTCATGTTTCATCATGTTTTTATCCTGATCTGTGAAGCATTAGGTCAGACGTGTTTTAGAGTTCAAAGCTCCCATTATAGCTACATTTTTCAGTTTGCCGGTTGGTTGTGGAGACCTGTTAGCTTGTGAGAAATTATTTTTACCTGACGTAACTACTGCTGCCTTTTCTCACCAGTAGCCTGGACCCTCCAGCCTGCCCAGGCCAACTGATTGCTTTAGGGCAGGCCATGGCCATTGCCCCAACTCAGAAAATGAGAGGTCATCCTCAAGCATGGCTTCCTTCCTTCTCTTTTCTTTTATGGCGGCTTCTGCGGCAGAGTGACGCCAGCCGTTAAAACACTTACGATGTGAACGTTTCGGCCCTTTTCAGTTAGGGTGCTATTACTTTGCAATGGGATCCCATTATGGGTAATGCATAAAGGGAAGGGTTGTTTGTTTAGAGCTGTGTGTACAAGACCACAGAGCTGGAGAAAACGAGTCTGAAAATTGTGCTTATTCAGAATTTTATAAAAAAAAAATTTTATGTTTAGTTTTTAAGGAAATATTAAGTCATGTTTTTTTGAAGTCTCAATTAGAGCAAGTCCTCTCTATTTATTTTTATTACAGAAATGTTAAGATATGAAAAGGTCAAGATAAGAATTTTCACAAATTGGTATTACAGAAGCAAATCCTATCATAATTTAGGAATTATATCTTAGCATCTTTTCTCAAGTTAGGAAATCCTAAGCTACTTAACCACTTAACAAGCCATGGTTTAACGAGTTTTTAACACACTTAGATAACCTAAGAATAGCTCCATTAATTTTCACTGAATCCTCTGTATTAACTAGAAAATAAGCCTTTGTATGAAATAAACCTGGATTGTTAAGGGGTTAATTGAGGTCAACAATCAGTTGTTATGTCTGTTACCAAGCAACCACCCACACAGAACAAATGTAAACACAAAATCAATATAATGTTAGTTAGCTAGACAGCTACTTTTGCAAAAAAATGTCAAAACATAACTAAAGTGCAGTAAACTGGTTCAAAAAGCCAAAAAAATATTCTGTCCCCTGCTGTTTAAATGGATGCTCCCAGTTTCAACTTCCATTTATTAAAGCAGCACTATGTAACATTTGTGGATTTAGAGACCTCTCTGGTTGAAATGTGTAATTGCATGCAAGCACAACTGGCAATACATTTTGTACTTTACAGGTCGACTCTCAGCAGCGCACACTCCCCATATTTTAACATGTTGTTTCTCCTGACTCAGTAACGCTACTTCTTTCAGTTTTAACAGCAAAAGCTTACAGAGTAATGCTTTAAGGCTTTACGAGAGAGCCATGCTAATGCTATTTCTCCTAATAAACAGACATAAGTACAAATCTATCTCCTCATTATTCACAGCCTTCGCTGCAATATTTTATTTATCCCTCTTCTCTTCCTTAGTCCAGCTATACTTCTCCGCCATGTTGTTTGTGTTTCACAAAAGGCAAATCTATCACGACACTACATTTATGTGCAATTGTAATTTTCTAGAAAAAAAAATCTGATGTTTTAGCCACATTCAGGTGTTCAATAACATTTTTTCCACTAAAGTTGAGTTTTGTTGACCTCTTACTGACCGGAAACGGAAATTGGTTAGGATCTAATTTAAGACACTAGCGACTATGATCAATTTCCGTTTCCATTCATCCATTGCAAAGAATCCTTTGGATGGAAAAGTAGCTATTAACACATACAGCCAATGAGAGAATGGGAGAGAGTGTGTCTGCAGTGTCAGGATTTCTGAACCACAAAGATAAAAAAACAGCACCAGCACAAGAGAAATCTTTGCAGTATAAGTAAGTGTAATGTCAATATGATAGTTATGTTGACCTTGTACGCTGCCTGTCACAGTTGCTTAAAACTGATAGCATTTGTTGTTCAGTAGAACAGCTAACACATGTCAGGTCAGCACTGGAGTCTAAACCTAAGCCAGTATTTAGGACATTTTGTCTGGTTAGGATGCTTCTGTAATACTTCTTTCTTATCTGCAGTTAGGATACGATTCTAAACTTAAAGAATGTTATTCTGTGTTAGAGCCAGTGTCTTAAATTAGATCCTAACCAAAGTCCTGTTAAGTAAACAGATAAGATTTCAGAGTTTGTATGTTTGTGTAATATAGCCCCAGAGCTACATCAGAATCAGCCAAATTAGCTGAAAGCATATTCAGAATGTCCAGTAATTTCACTAAAAACTACTCTGTAAATACGTTTACATGCACTTAATGATCCGATACCTGCTGAAAATTAGATTTTGTCAGTAATTCGATCAACACGCTTACATGCATTTGAGTAATCAGATAATGGGAAACTCTGAGTATACGTGAGTCAGACAGTAATCGGATTACTGCTTTGCAACCAGCCAATAAACTCACAGAAGAAGACGTGACGGGTAATGTAAAAGTCAAACTTCATGACACAGCTTTTTTTTTAAAAAATAAAACATTGCGCCACTTTACCTGAAAATATGAACATATATCATCTAGAAGACAAAGAATATTTAAATTCTTCAATTTGTGAAGCATGCATTTGGTTTTAGCATCACTCCAAAAGTGTTTTGCTGCTACCTGCAACAGTCTGTTTCGGACATGCACAGACTGAGAAATCCGAAAGAAATCAGAGTAAGGGTACACATGCTCTGAGAAATCTGATTATTGAGCTAAAATCCAGCTCTCTTTATCAGATTACTTAATCAGATTTCTAGACCTTACTCAGATCTAAGAAATCGGAGTATGCTGGTTGCATGACCATTTGAATAATCAGATAACTACAGAAATCCGATCATGATGATTGCTGAGTGCATGAAAACAAACTCACTGTTCGTTTGAACAGTTCGCCCTCACTTTCTCAGTACGTACTGACACTCTTCACAGTGTTGCTGTACTTTATCTTATGTAAGTAGTAGCACACTTCATTTCTGGATTTAACTTGCGCAATTCTGTTCAATTGATGCTGCATTAGGGGAATCTGATGAAGTACATGCTGAGAAAATGGCAGTCAGGCTGTGAAAAATCACATCACGATTCTGACCATAGATCTGTAATGACTAAACCCCAGTTTAAAAGCCTTATCATGAGTTCTAGCAGCTGAAAGGCAGTTTTTGTGGTCCTGCAACAAAAGAAGCATACAAAACCAACAGCAACACAACGAGATTCCAGTCTTTTAAACATAAATGAACAGTAAACTCTTCTCTTAAAGCAGCAAGATTCAAGTTTTTCAAGGAGTATTTCCAATGATGGCCATTTAAGTGCGAGTCCATTCCACAGCATTGAGTAATCTAACCAAGGCAGGGACCATCCCCCTCGACCAGTCGATGATTTATAAGTGGCCCATGTCAGGTTTTATTGCCTCTCATAGAGAACATGAAGTCTGCCTCGGACCGTCCAAGTCCATTCCTTTTGACGGATGGCAAGACACTAGTAATTATCAGCCGCCAAGAATAAATCAAGGCCTTTACTGTGCGTCTTGCGACGCTCTTGAAGGGATAACCATTTTCACGACGAGGGGAACCTGTCCAGCAACACTTTCCTGAGATTTGTAAATCTCTAGCTCAAGCCCAAATAATGAGCGGTTGTTACTCGCTTGTTATTAGAGGTCTGCGGCTGACGTTATAGATATACGTTTCCTAAGGGGTCGTTAGAGTAATGAGTAAGTAGAGTCCGGTCGCTAACCTTGGTTTTGCAGAGGTATGTTAATGTATGTTTTCAGCTCTTCAAGTGGAATTTTCACACCTCAATAAAAAAATCATCCTGTCAAAGACAGTTTTCCCATTCAGGTAATTTTGGTTTATATTAGCAATTGACGCTTGTTTGAGCATGCTGTCATAACCCGAGATCCCA